AATTTCACTGATTGAAATCATGAGTCAATTGAGGCTAGACAACCTTAGAAAACCTGAAAGCACTGGACGGCCGTTTCATCCTAGTATGGGACTCCTCAGCAGTGCGCATCCACGATCCCGCGCCCCGCGAGATTCAAACCCAGTTAGACATTAACACCGTTGTGTGCCGGCTCAGTAGTCTAGTTGGTTAAGCGCCTGGCGCACTGCTGAGGAGTCCCATACTAGGATGAAACGGCCGTCCAGTGCTTCCAGGTTTTCCATGGTAGTCTAGCTTCAAATGACTCATGATTTCAATCAGTGAAATTTAATATTACTCAAACCAGATGAAGGTTCTTATATTGTACCGATTAATTAATTCAGAAAAATATTGATGATGAACAATGATCTAATTAAGAAACTATACTGGTCTAATTTATTAATATGACGAAATTTTTCGATAAAATATTAGTTAAATTTAAACTGAAGACTCTAGCTTTGAATTATTGTTACTACAACTGTAAACTATTTGAATTGTATGTGGACAATACCCTAATTGGTGTGAATAGGGTAACTTAATCATGATCCATAATAAAAGCGAAATTACTGTCGTAAACTCTTCATCGAACAATGAATAAAACAATTGATTTGCTAATGATCTTATATATTTTTTCTGGTTGAATGATAATATTATATGCAAAGTCTTTATTATAGAAATGAACATAAATACGTATTCCTTAACTCATAGATGATTGTGTGATTTAGGTTTAGTCAGTTATACATCAATCCATGTTATGAATTCTAGTTAATTGACAGGATTCATTCATAATCAATTATATTTTCACAACTAATAAAAGGTTGTTAAGTCAATTTAATAGTTTCTAAAGAAAGTTGAAGTTTCTATTTCAGTCAGAATGTTGAATACATGATTTCTATTATATCGTTCATAGACTGGAAGGACGCAATCGTCACTCCCGTACATAAAACAGGTCCACGACAAGTTCCATCGAATTACAGACCCGTAAGCCTCACCAGTGTGGTAATTAAAATACTGGAAAGAATAATCAAACGGACCATAACAGCATTTATGGAAACCAATAACTTGCTGAACATGGCACAACATGGTTTTAGAAAGGGTCTATCCTGTACAACGAACCTCCTTATAGCTAGGGAGTTCTGGATTAATGCGCTAGACAACTGAAACTCAGTGGATGTTGTCTACATATATTTCAGTAAGGCTTTTGACAAGGTGCCAACTAGTAGACTGCTATTGAAATTGGAAAACCTTGGTATTGCCGGACCTCTTTCAAAATGGATTAAGGATTTCCTAGTAGGTCGTAGACAAAAAGTAAGAATAAATTCCAAGTGCTCCATCTGGAGACCAGTACTTAGTGGAGTACCCCAAGGTTCCGTCCTAGGTCCTTTACTTTTTATAATGTACGTTAATGATCTTACAAGTATAGTACAGCCTCCAATCTTATTATACGCTGACGATGTAAAAATTTGGCGAGTAATAACTGAAGACAAAGACGCATTTACTCTTCAGGCAGACTTAAATAATATGATAAACTGGTCTAAAGAGTGACTGATGCCTATCAACACGGAAAAGTGTGTCTACATGCACTTGGAGGATTCAAAGGTTAATAAGTACAACATAGGGGATGTGTCATTGCCCGTAGTTCGGTCTCATAAGGATCTAGGGGTGACAGTGAGTAATGATCTTAAGACGAGGGCCCATTCCCGGGAGGTCGCAGCCAAGGGGTTTCGAACCCTCTGGGCTTTAAAAAGGACATTCACTAAGTTAGATACTACCATGTTCACTACAGTATACACATCCTTAGTGAGAACTAAGCTAGAGAACTGCGCTCAGGCTGCAAGTCCCTGTTTAAAAGGTGACTCGGACATCCTAGAAAAAGTACATAGGGCAGCAACTCCGGAACTCCGGGGTTTATCATACAAAGAGCGACTTGAAAAACTGGACCTCTTTACCCTGTCCTATCGCAGACTAAGGGGAGATCTAATTTTGATGTACAGAATACTGAGAAATGATTTCGGACCTAACTTATTCTCTCTCTTTCTTCCCACTAGATCGGTACACCTTAGAGGACATAGCAGGCGAGTAGAAAAGCCAAGAACGAACAAAATACCCGTGGCATACAGGTTTTCACACCGAGTCATCAATACTTGGAACCTGCTGCCTGAAGCAGTGATGTCCGCACCTTCAATTGACTCTTTCAAGAGAAGACTGGACACTCACAGAAGCATACTAGAAAAGGAATAACATAGGCCGTAGGCCTTCTGTCCTTACTACACAAATCTGAATCTGAATCTGAATAATGAATTTTCCTTAAGCCTAAAGAGATTTAACTAAGCATTTGGTGTATATCTTATTGTACTTAGAAGTAATTACGTTTTCATTTTAAAATGTACTTAAGGATTACTTAGATCTAGTTTTGAAACTATTTTATGTGTATATTCGTAATGTATAACTTTGTATTATGGGAAATGTTTTATTCGATTTTTGAGTAAATCAGTAGCGATCATGAGGAAATTGTTTATAAAGAAGATTTTCCCCACATATATTGAACTTCAGTGGTCAGTGGTGAAATTTTACATTATCCTATTATATGGTATGATTTATTTGGGATCATATTGTTATGACTGTGAATAAAATCGTTGGTATCCAATACAATGTGCATTTTGAGCGTTCCTTTTCACTTTTTTTTCCACAAACCAGCGGCTGCTAATGTTATTCAGAACTTCGATGAAAGCTTCGGAGTAACACCGGTAAATCATCTGTCTTAGGTACATCTGCTTTTCCACAAGTAAAATTTATTTTGATAGTTGATTAAATAAAAACGATGAATTTCTTGGTTACTATAAAAGTGGTTAGAAAAGGGTAGAATTAAAATTCTGAATTTTTCAATATATACCTGTTATTATTTTGATAAGATCTTAAGCTTTATTATTATGTTGAGTGTATAAGAGAGATATTATCTATTAAATTTTAACATCATATTTTTGTATAGAAAGACAGATTTCAGTCTCTTATCCTAATACTTTCATTACAAACACCTATAAGTCAATAGGTGATGAGATAATTCTAAATATACTGCATTAACATAATAGAGGATTTTGATAAATTTTGAGGTAGATATTATCGTCACTTATAAAGTAATAGTGATAATAATGGTAACTATTATGTGTGTACTTATTACTACCATACGTATTTACCTGGAACTGTAGTAGGACGTACATTGTAAGAACAAAGATGGGATTGCCTAGCAAAATATCGGGACATATGCTAAGGAAGTTGAACACGAATGGCCTAAAAGTATTTAGCCGTACAACTGGAAAATATAAATGGTATGAATGATTCATTCGTTACTGTTATTTCATTTCGAGCAATGAATCAACAGAATACGGTCGAACTTTTAGGTTAAGCAGAAATAGCCACTATTCATTAAGTCACCCTTCATTTGTGTATATCAAAAGAACTTACGATTCACTTTACACTGCCATGATGATAGATCTCACTTCTTTTCTTCCTTCCTCTTTCTATTCGCTTGTATTCAAAATATTTCAAATTTTTATTATAAGGTTTTGTGGAGACTAGAATTTTCATTTTATTAAACCATAAACAAACGCTTTATTTATTTATACAAATCGGTTCGTGTACAAAGAAGATTTAGAATAAACGTAATGAGCTGAATTCATTTCATCACACAATCTTTTTTTTGTTTTCCTTAACAAAAGTTTATCAAGGGAACTAAGTGTACTGAATGTGTTGATGGTTAACTTACTGTGTAAATCGGTGTATGAAAATATCGCTAATCTATACCGCACGTATTCATATCTTTAAAGCTAAAAACGTATACATGATTTATTAGTATCATGATTACTATCATCAATGTATCCAAACTCATGTTGTTCTTAATATGAATCCAAGATCATGTTTCAGTAGAAAACATGACAGATATATTGAGTGAGCCATAACCATCTCATTATTTTTTTTTAGCTTGTTCGAATTCTAAAAACATTTTAAAATTGTCTATTACATGAAGTTAATGAAGCTCAATATGTGTGTAACATATTTTAATAGCGTTCTTTGAAGACACCGAATTCCTGAAGTTTCGATAAAGCCGTCACTTATTGGAAATTCATCCAACCCTAAATATAATCAATGAGACTGATGATTGACCACTTCTGGGGAAAAGATTTTAGTATGCTATATTGAGAACTTATTCAGTTTGCTAAACGTACATCATCAAACTTGAAAAATTGATTTTTGTTGTGGAACAGGCAAGTATTGTTCCTTACATCCGAAGAAGCCAAACAGAAACAAATCACCCATAGGGTTATTTATGAATACCATTCACCTACCGATTGATATCACTTGTCAGAAATTATTTTGATAATTAACATCAATTATTTGTTAATTGATAAATAATTATGAAATCTGGCACACATTTTTGCTTGTGTGAAATAAAATAGGAAGCATATGATTACTTGACAATGAGTTTGAGTCTGTAAAATCTTTTCATAATAGAAACTGATAAACTAATGTACAGGTTTAACCGATAATTTCAAAACTAATTATTATCTTCAATGGAAGAATGTTTGGATGTTACCATATTCTAAATAATCATTTTTCCATACGCTTATACTGAGTTAAATGGTTTCATTGCTCTTTACGTATTAAACCAGTTTCACGAGTGATACAAAAATTTGGTTCTAAACGAACCACACTTATTCATCGACCTTGGTGATTCAATCATCAATCAATCACTAGACAATCTGAGGTAAACGGTATTTAAGTCAAATGTTTGATGTTTATATATTAGTCATGTACAAAGTGACTATTAGACAATCCTTAAAACATTGTCAGGTTTTTACCAATATAACTTGTATAAAAAGCTTCTAGTTTTCATATGAAATTTTAATTAAACTGAAAAATTACTTGATATCTGACTTTATTTCAAGTTTTGAATAATATACTTTAATTTTATTCATATGTTAAGCAGAGACGATCATTAACTCCTTGTGCATGGCTTGAACGTGGTGGCTTTTTTAATATGCCTAAATATTATAATTCATTATCTCCATTTGCACAACGTCGTCATATTTGTTCAAGTTATTCAAGTTGTCCACTTACATGGCTTCCAACAAATGATGTTAAATCATTAACATTTAAGCTTATAGGTACTGATGGTAAGTAAATTTTTATATTTAAGTAGTTAAATAATGTTTAGTATTTATATTATAGTTTTATAAGATTGTACATATTTTGACGTGTTTGAATACTGTAAATATATGACGTTAAATATGATTTAATGATCAATTTGATAAAATTGGCAATTAGATACAAATAGCTAACTGATTGTTTTAACATGTTCAGTTAAATGGAGACAGATTAATACCAGTAGATTATGATTAATTATTAGTACAAAAATTATCAATTCAGATCCATAACTGATTAGAAGTACAATGTTCAGGAAAAAAAGATAAGATCTGACCTTTCTTTAATCATCATACCATTATACAGAAAATATGATAATTAACTGTAAGCCAAGATGGATAGTGACTAGCAGTGGAATCCGGGAGGAGCGTTTCGTTCAGCTGGATGTACCTGCATCTCAAAGTTGATGTTCACTTTGGGACTCGAACCCAGTGTCGTTCGCTTCGAATGCCATCGCGTTACCCACTTAGCTACTGAGTCCTGGTAGCCACTTGCTTGTGCAATGGGGTGAAGTTTAATTCACTTGGTATTGTTTTACTTGAATCTTCCCATTGATGTTTAGGACTGAAATTGATCAGTATCATGTTGGCATATGTGCACACTGTGCGTATTGCCTCGACTGATCAATTTCAGTCCTAAACATCAATGGGAAGATTCAAGTAAAAAATACCAATTGATAATTAACTGTTTGCTACAATAGAAAAGCATGGATTTAAAGTTTATGAAAATGCTACTACAAAAAGTATACTAATATGGAAATGAAGTCTTTTAAATTTTAACTTAAAGCTACATAGCCGCAGCCATCTGGATCAACTCCAGAAAATCAAACTTATGTATCCAGAAAAAGGTATACTCAGCCTCTATGTTTACCTTGGCCCACGACTGGATCACTGGATACCTGAACTGAATATTATAAACATCCTACCCCCTTCTTTTTTTTGATTACCTCTATCTTAATCTTCACATCCATCATTCCCAATTCGTTTGTCTTAATTACCTTTATAACACCCCCCTCATTACATATTATATTCACACAACAATCTTATTATTATTATCTCAATTGACAAGGTGAAATTCTCCTACTATGCATTTTATTCACACACTTCTTTGGGAATTTTCATTTTTGCTATAATACTATTCTACTTATTGTGACTGGACACTTTACTCCAAATCATTCTGAACTTTATTAAATGACCTTTCTAATTTGCGAATAACACCATTTTGGAGTATATATGTCGTAACAGATCAAACGTTCACCATTTTTAACATATAACATTGTCAAATTCATTAATACATGCCTTATTTTTGGCCTTTGTAAAATATTATGATTATGGACTTATAACTATGGAGCCTGATGACGAAGTTATTGAAAACAATTGTTCGCTCGAATATTCTTCATGTTTGATTATTAAAGCTAAAACATACATAGTTAAAAGGTAGCAAGTGAGTGACAACACTAACTTATTATATTTTTGAACAATTACACTATTTTATGAATTCAAGAAAGTCAAAGAAGATATCAATCATAGTTTCTTACAGACATTGAAATTTCAAGTTTGAGATCCTCGATGATTTTAATGATATATACTGTTGAATAGTTTCAAAAGTAGGATAAAACAGTTATATGTTGTACTTTGATATCTGTTTGATACTAGAGAAATGATAGTAGAATTTGTGGATTTGATAACACCATGATAGATGGGTCATCCGTTAATATTTTAAAAATAAAAAGAATTCAGCGAGGAAATCTTTTTTTTTGATGAAATCTTTTAGTTAAGCTGTACATCCAATATTTATAGTTGTATTGTCTATATGTCTATAGAGGGATAGAAAAGATTGCATCATAAAGCGATGAAAATTAGTCTCGTATGTACAGTTGTTTGGTGAATATATATGTATATGGAAAGACAGAAAAGATTCTGTCATAATGAGATTCGAGGTTTCAAATATCAAAAGTGGTTAGAGAAGAATGGTAGGATGAAAATAGTTTACGTGTCCGAATTGTGAGAGTTATTTGAAGAATGCAGAATAGTTTCTATTTCAACTCGTCGCTCCAAAGGAGTTCTCATTCAAAACAATCTGCACAACCAAAGGAACTGGATCTAAGGGAGGTCGAACCAAAAACTTATGCACTACTGAATTGTTGAAGATCCACTAGTTTAAGCCAAAACTCTGCGTGCCTTCACTAGCCCTGATTCCCTTCTGGAGTATGTTTTGGTCTTGTTTTTTCCTTCTTTTTAAATGTAGTGTTTTGCAATTTTAAACCATAGTCAGTTATCATTATCCTTCAAGAGATTTTCATGATTATTATTCATTTATTACTAAACCTTTATATTTTCCAATTTTCTTCATATCTGTCAAGTGAACAATTATCTTTCATAATTCTGACCCGTAAATTATTTTCATTTTACCATTCTTCTCTAACTCCCTGATTATTACGCAACCATCTTTGATATTTGAAATCTCAAATCACTTTATGATGGAATCTTTTCTATTTTTCTACAGTTATATTAAAAGAACTCAATACAAGTCAAAAGCACATTTCTCTTACATGCGAAGAAGAGAAGAACAACCAACTTCCTTTTCTATACATACTGATTAGTAGGAGAGATGATGGTTTCATACAACGTTCTATATATAGACATATATATAACATATGAATGTACAGCTTAAGTAAATAGTTTCTTCGAAAAGAAAGTTTTCTTCGTTGAATTCTTCTCTCTGTGAACTGCTTTTATAAAGTAATCCATTCAACTAATCTTCCTGTGTATATATCGTTGTAACACTAATATGTAGTATGATATTTAAATTCTGAGGTGTTTATAAACTAGATAGTTGAGCTAGTTTTTGTCAATAAATGTAGTATCTTTTTTAGCATCCGGTTGTGCTTTTGTCACATTTTCACTGAAGCTGTTAAGAAATGTTATTCTATTGTTCTAATCATAATTTCACAGTGCTGCTTCCAATTAGTTTTATACTTACCAAATAGTTGACGAGGTAATAGTAAATTCATAAGATCGTAGTTTTTGGAATAATTCGATGATAAATTAAATTGAGGGCCTTCAACTATAAATCGTTTTGATTGATAAATATCAGGAAATACAATATTACCTAGTTACGCATATTGAATATACCCATACAAAGTTGATATTAACCAAGAATACCGTCATATAATTCTTTATAAAAGGCGCTTTAGGTTATTGTATTAAAACTTGGTATTATTCTCTAGTAATAATCAAAATAGATGAAAGCTCACCAGTTAACTGGAGGTATTTCATATGAATTGGTTAATTTTTCCCAGATTTGGTGAGACTTAACCAACTTTGTTTCAAATGTCATGATATCATTTGTATGTAACTTACCTATAACATTTATATAAGACAAATAGGAGAGATGCTTCGTTGAAGAATTCGAAACACAACTGCATTTCGCACACAATTCGAGTAACCCTAATAATGAGTTAACTACTTATTAGGGAAAATAATTTAAATAAACCGTTAATGTCTGACTTTGTATTTTTCTTGCAAACTTATTTTTTAGATATGCGTGATTATGAATTTCAAGCTCATTTTTGTAACAGAATCTATGAAGCACGACATCGTTATTGTACTATGGAAGAGGGAGAAATCGCATTTGAGTTGAGGCAAATAGGGACATGGTTGATGGTAGACCGCATCAATTGTCGATGCTTAGGCATTGCTGATGTTGAACGTTATGGATACAGTAAAGGTGTTCAATTCGGAGATCGCGTTTTTCGTGGTAATTATATACACATGACATGTGCAACAAAGGTAAGTAGACTTTGGGACATTTATGTCAGTCAAAATATTTAAAAAATGTCTCCTACCTGTTCGTAGAATATGAAATAATTTGATAGATTTTTACTCATAAATAAGTGTCAACCTATTGTAGAGGATGAGCCATTATGTCTGTTAAGCTAAAATATTATGGAAGTAAGGAAGAACTAAGCTTTGTGTTAGCTGTTCAAGATAAAAACTAAAAAACTTGGTGATAGATACTCACTGATTTATACGTAGAACTGAAGCATAACATACATAGTATGATGAATCTGAAAGAGTTATTTGGTTTTAACAGTTTTCAATGGTGTTATGTAACTGGTAAATTGAGTCAATGACTCACGAGTGGTACAGTTGTGATTATGACAGAGAATGACTGAAATATTACCCAGGGAAATATATAAACAAACTTAAAAAATATAGTTTTAAACAGTTCTAGTACGTTGATTCTTGACAAATTAGTTTTAAAGTACTGTATTTAGGATCAATCAATTATTGATTTCGAAGTTCACAGTCAATTTTACTTGGTGTATGTGTTCTGATTATGTAGACTTCCTCATTGTCAAAATCTTGGTATAAAACTTTTCTCTTGTAAATCACTTATATTACTTTTGTTTGAAGTTTATTCCTGAGTTTTGTAAAGCCCTTAGAAGTGTATTCCAAAGATATGGGATAATTCATGTTTAGTTTTAGACATTACTCTTTCTTATCGATGAACCATATTCTATAGACAACTTGCAAGAACAAGGGATTAGGATGTTCTTGGAATCGAAACACTGTGAATAGTTTCTTTTTACCAAAATTCTCAAGGAATCTGATATACTGTAATATAGAAATGTCCAACATATAAACTGTTAATGATTGTCTAAAGTTCCTTGCTCCGACAAAATGATCAAACACATTGAGAAATCTTTGTTACTGTTTTTAGCATTATAACACTATAATGCTGGGATTTATAGATAATCAATAGGTATAATTTGTCTAGTTCAAGATGTAAGTTTTTATTCGAGGTATTGGATAATATAATCGACTACAGAATAGTTCTAATCATCTAACAGGATTCAAATCACCATACAATCTAAATTTCACGGAATCTTTTTGGGTTGCGAAACTATATTCAAATGTTTCTAATGTTGTCTAATTGTATAATTCTGTATATTTAGTCCTTTGTTCTTTTGGTAGAAAAGATAACTCAACAGTTCCTGTACCACTTTTCACTACAATTTGGTTCGGTACAATTAGAAGAACGTTATGAACAATAGTTTTATTTTACTAGTAAATACTTTGCTAGATGGTTCACCTAAAGTTTTATGAGAAATGATATTCTTCATAAAGTTTAAACTCTCGTAATCCACACTTCATCAGTTTATGACTTTTATTGACCTTTACCAAGTATCAAGTTTATACTTTTAGTTCATTTAATCAGTCAGTCAGTCAGCTACAATGTAGGACCAGGCACATATATGCATCGGTCCAAGTTGCCATACCTCATTAACACAACAAGATGAACATCGGATTCATAGAAGTAGTGGTGGTAATATATAAAAGAAAGGTTGCATATAAGGACATAATACAGGAAGAAAGAATTATCTCGTAGAAAGAAAGATGTGAAGCGATTTTAATCTCATGGTTTATGGGAAGACAGAGAGTGTATACAACTACGCCATTGTGATCGATTCTGAGCCATGTCACCAAGAGTCTCCAATCATTTTTTACTATAGTCGTGTGGACCCCAACCAAGTAGTCTGCATCTACCAACATGGCTCAGACTACAAGTTAGTGACTTTAAGCACTGATGCCACGTCTTGGTTTAGCTGCCCCCAACTTTCTTCCATCAGTCTCCAACACCGGTTAGCATTGCGCGTTATGGTAATCGGTGTTCAGGCATACGTAACGCGTGGCTCAACCATCTCAGTAGATGAAGACTCACAACCTCATCAGCTGACGTACCATCATTCCCTAATACCCTACGTCTAACCTTACTATTACTTGGCTGGTGATCCCAGCGGATGCGAGCAGTATTTCTGAGACATCTGTGGTTAAATACTAGTAGCTTCGAATATCTTCAACTCTTAATTGCCACGTTTTGCAGCTGTAAAGTAAAACAGAACGAAGTGCCGCGCAGTATACTCGTCCTTTTATTGATAGACGGATATCTCGCCTTCGCCATAGGTGATGTAAGTTGGCGAAAACCGAACGAGCTTTTCGAATCCGTGCTGAGATTTCGTCAGACACCAACCCATTAAGGCTGATCAGACTTCCAAGACAAGTGAAGTTGTTAACGCGTTCCACTACTTCACTCCCTATCCTTAGTTCAGGTGTTAACGCAGACCACTCCTGAAGCAACAACTTGCATCTAGAGAGAGAGAAGCGCATTCCAAACATTCTGGCATTGTTGTTCAGGGCTACCAGAAGACTCTGCATTTTGTCAGCGTCTTCACCAAACAGGACTATGTCATCTGCGTATTCTTTTAATAGAAACATAGTATTAAATTTTATTTCTTCTTAGATATTTATCAACTGCTTTTATTGTACTGTTTTTCTAGCCTCAATGTAAAGTGGATGATTTTTGTTATATTGAAACACCAAGTACAGATGGTTATATTTATGGTGGTCGAGTACCATGCATTTGTCCAAAACAATATCATTGTCCAATTTATTTTATACGAGATAAACGTATTCCACAAATCAATGATGATGGACGTGTTATCAGTTATGGAATTAAATGTAAACGAAGAAATTATTAGTTATTTACATTTTTCCTTATTTCGAATATATATCTATCTACATCTCCTCTAGTTTCTTTTCTCTCTTTTTACTTTCTTTTATTTCTCGTTATTATTTCTGTTATATAAGAAACACTTTTTTCTTTTTCTTTTTTCTACAATCAACATTTAATTACTTATTTTCTTTTTACAATATGCTTACTAATTTATATGTATAGCGTACAGTTTTTGAATGTTAGGGGAATGAAGAAATAAGGGAACAGAAGAAAATGTCTTACGACAACAACAACAACAAAAATTAAAGTCTTATTCATTTGCAGAAAGGAATTTTGTAGAGGTTTTTGGTCATTTTAATAGTTGAATTCATGAGTCAATTAAAAAAAGACCACCATGGAAAACCTGTAAGCACTGAACAGTCGTTTTGTCTTAGTATGGAACACTTTAGCAGTGAGCATCCACGATATTTGCCAGAGCCGAACACAGAACCTATCAGTCTCTCATGAACGAACGCTTAACCTCTAGACCATTGAGTTGACATCGAATGGTGTTATCGTTTAACTTTAACCAATCCACAATATTGCGTCTCCATCCACCATTGTCTTCAGTGAGTTACTATGTCACAACAGACCTAATTGGACTTCGTTGGTCACGGTTTCTCACTAGTACTCCAAGAAATACCTCTTGAAGTCAGTCACTAGTGAGCACATGATGATTATTATCAGAAGGGAGTTTTGTGGATATTTTAGTTGAATTCATGAGCCAGTTAAAACTATATTTTTGCTTTTAAAAAAGTTTATGATAAATTACCCGTAAAAATTTGTGTTTAACAATTTGAGTCAACTTTTGACTGCATCAATCATAACTCATAGTAAATGGTTATAAAAATCTATGTTTGTAATCAAATCTATGATAGATATATTTGTTCTTAAGATAATACATGAATATATTGATAACGTTTTGCAGAACAAATCAATATAGTAAAGGAGTCTAGCTTAGTGAGATCTAGGATTCTTTAAAATTTTTAAATAAAATTAGTCCTATGATGGTATACAATTTCCTCTAAGCGTTTTAAACATATTGTGAAACAAAAACTAGGCTGTTTATGAAAATCCTACATTCTTAAAGAGTTTGCTATACAGTATAATATATTACTTAATTAAGTTAACTAGTCAAGTATATATTTTCTCTAGAGTTGTTAACTTTTAATAATTAGATGTTTGATGCTTGTTAATCAGATGTAGTTATGGAAATACTCATTGCAGTTCAACTACTGACCAAAACTTCGAATACCGATTATTTTTCCATTGAAAAATAACCAAACATTCTCTTGGGAATGAATTGATCATTCTGATTATGTTGGCTTCTGAAAAATCTCAATGTTAATGAATCAAAAATTGTTAACCATTAGAAATTTCGAACATTTTGTAGATTGTGAGTGAAGTAGTATTAGAAGAACTGAACACGTGTTGTTTCATAACGCTTATGTGAGGAATTCGAGACGTGGCATTAAAAATACTCTATCAAGGTTAAAGAGGCCGTTGTATTTGATAGTGGCTGGATTTAACAGTTCTTTGTAACAACCGAAATAAAGGGAACTGGTGATGACGCAAAAATTAGGGAGTTTGGCGTTAAGCTTATCTGGAAATTTTAACAACTTTTATTCTGAGCAGAATGCTTCGAAATAATTGGGAGATTGAATAAAATAATCTACTACAAGATATCAACAGTTAAGCGGTCAGATTTCTCGCTATAAATCAATTAATACTATGGAGTAAATAAAATAATTAATCAAAATATTTACAAATTAATTATAATATAATTGAAACTATGTTATCGATTAGACTCTAGGATTACACATTCTAGTTGACCAGGGAAATCAACATGTTTTCATGATGATTTTACTTGAAATATGATGGGAATTTCTATCTGCTAATAACTGTATCAAAGTTTAAATCGATAAAAATCACGTATATTTTGTTAGCTCACCGTGGTCTAACTTCGTAATGACATTCGACCATAACCACACAATCCTCAAAGCTGAACACGAGACAACTCGGAAAATAGATATTCAATATTTAATGTGGAGAAATACCTAACGATGGAGAAGGTGGGAAGAATGTATTGAGTGAATTGGAGTTGATCGAATGGCGTGGCTCGGCCACGCAGGCGTGGTCCCTACTGAATGTTACCTTGTATCTTTTATTCATATTATATATATTATTCTACCTCCATCCTGAGGTTGTTATACATCATGTATTGGCGATTGTTACGATACGATGAGTTGGTGTAGACGATGGCATGACTTTTACGTAAGATCTTATAGATTATACAGTTATATTATGACAAGTCTGAAATTTTAGGATTAGTTCTATTATTAGTGCAGTACTAATATCATAGTAGACCATAATTCTACAACTTAAGTAAATCTAATAAATTTTTTGATTGAGATCATGAACCGATTGATGTTAGAGCATCACAATTGAAAGCCTGGGAGCACTGGACGGCCGTTTCGTCCTGTCGTAGTACTCCTCAGCAGCGCGCATCCACGACCCCGCGGGCGGGATTCGAACCCACGGCCTTCGGTCTCGCGCGCGAACGCTTAACCAACTGGACCACTGAGCCGGCACCCAATGGTGATAGTTTCTAACATCAACCAATCCACGAAATTGCGCGACCAACTTCCATTGTACTGAGGTAGATAACTGTCTCTACCCGACAAGGATTAGCTCCACTGGTCACGGCTTCTCACTAGAACTCCGAGAATTCCCTCACGAAGCTAGTCACTAGTGAGCACATGTTAATTACTAGTATAGGGGTTGTGGAGATTATTAAGTTTTTGATTGAGATCATGAACCGATTGATGTTAGAAACTATCACCATTGGGTGCCGGCTCAGTGGTCCAGTTGGTTAAGCGTTCGCGCGCGAGACCGAGGGCCCTGGGTTCGAATCCCGCTCGCGGGGTCGTGGATGCGCACTGCTGCGGAGTCCCACAATGGGACAGAACGGCCGTCCAGTGCTTCCAGGCGATGCTCTAACATCAATCGGTTCATGATCTCAATCAAAAACTTAATCTCCACAACCCCTATACTAGTAAATCCAATAAACACGTAAATAGGGCAACAAACATTGACGCTACTATATTTAGCTACTTAAACCAAAATAAGTAGTATGAAATTTCATAAAACATAAAGGTCTTGAAAATTATCTAGTTATTTTTTGGTATAAATTTATTCAGAATAATTAGTTAACAATATACTTTTATAAATATGTACCATGTAAATTGCAATGTATAGTGGAATATAACTTAAAGATTGCGAAATTCATATTTAAAACTTATTTTTCGAAGAATATATAGACACTTAAATAAGAGTAACTTGTATGACGTCAAACTGTAAATATGAATTTTTAACCATCTTCTCATTCATAGATGTTAATCTTCATTGTCATCAAGAATAATCCTAGTATTCGGTAGTCTCTTGTCCATGATATTTCTTGAGAAGAATATGGAAGGTATAAGGGTTACAATTTTAAAAATATGAAATGATAAATGAACTGAAACATGATAGTCAAATATGCTGCTATCGTTGAGATAATAAAAAACACACAACAGATCTTTAAGGTAGCTAATGATAAAATAAAGATTTAGTTTTCGTTGACCTGTCAAATTCTTAGTTATGAACAGTTTCATATTATCTGAAATTCAAAGTATAGGGTATGAAGATCTAGAATAAGGATAATATTTTGTAATTATATAAGTAATTGTAGACGTTTTTACTATAAGTGTATACTTGGTATTGGTCCAAGCAAAAAAAGGAGAGAGTTGGTATATTTAAGACAAATACATATGTATATATATATATGTTCTTTCTGAACATGTTTGACATAATAAATCTTGAAAGTAAAAAATGTATATTTATATTATAGTAAATTAGCAGTTAGAAGATTGAGATGAATATTATAGTTGCATCGATATTGCACGTGATATCATTGAGGATTTCCGTATAACTTATTTGTTTTGGACGCTTTCTTTGGTACATATTCACCAATAGCATTTAGTGTAATTTGTTGATCCCCGTATGCTGGTCGGTCTTCAGGTGTTGTAAGAAAACGTAATCTCTATAAATAATAGGAAATTAATTGTGTGGGTAAAAAGTTATAGAAATACATTTAGATTAAAAGACTAAGGGTTTTGATTTTTAGTATCAAAAAATTATTACTATTGTGCTAACGTCACAGTCCGTACAGTCGATCGACTAAAATATTTACAAAGCCATGGTATATCTGTAGTTTAACTTGAATGCTTCCCTGTTAGAATGCTTGAGCAGTAGAGTTTGCTAAAATGTTGTCGAAACCTGTCAAACATGATTTGTAGAAAGATGCTTCATGGTCTATAACTTACTGTAACAAAAATCATTGTGATGAGATGTTTATACTGATAAACATTAAATATGTTGAATCAACACAATTTCCATGAAAATTCATAGCCATAGTAAAAAGACATTGAACTGTGTTAAAAAACTGAGTGCCGATTCAGTTGTATGTGGAGGCTATTTTAATTTATATACTCATCATAAACTGATATCATTTGAGGAACTATAGGAAGTCATTGTCGAGTAGGTGCTTTGAAATTTACCAACAATGTAAATCGAAAACTTAACACAATATTGAGGCTTCTGTTTTTATACTTCACAGTGACGGGCTGGTTAGAAGATTGAATTTGATGAACGGTTAATATATAAATATATTGCATGTACTGCTATCATGGTAAATATATGGACGTTCATTGACAGAAGAATTAACCGAAGACAAATCATTTTTGATTGACGTTAAAATCAGGAATCGATAATAGTTAAGCAACCACTGAAGATCTTAAGCATTGGATTGCTGTTTGTCCTTAGTAGTTCGCAGCTTTGATGAGTTCATTATTCCAGTGAAACTCGATAATCTTCACAATCCCATACTGACAGTTTCCATGTAATAACTAGTGGCTAGCTTCGAGAGGAAATTTCCGGATTTCTAATGAAAAGCTATAACCAGTCGAGTTCAACTGTATCAATTGTGAGGAAGGTACCCACCAAAGACAGTTGAAGATAGTCGCGCTCTATCATGGACTAACTTAACTTAGGTTTGTACAGCTTGGTATTTCGGTTTAGTGGTTCAAAGTCTAGACACTCGCGCGTGAGACCGAAGATTCTGGGTTCAATTTCCGGTTGTGGAGTCGCGTATATACACTGCGGAGGGGTTCTATACAGGGACGAAAGGGCTTTCCAGTGGTTGTCTAACTTTAATTGGCCCTTTATTTTAGTGAAACTCAACAATATCCTTATTCTATTACTGACTTCCGATTATTTTAGGTCAAGGCTTCAAGCAATTTATAAGAATATATTCTTATCATATTATCTAGACTTAACGGGTTAACTTAAACAAGGACTTATCAACAAAAATACTGGCAATGTCACATCTAACTAGTAATGTTGACGTCAGTCTAAGAAAAAAATTAGTAAGAGATATGTGGTCAATAGTAAAAAAATTGAAGTCAACTATCCAGTTAACTATATTCATTTATTTCCCTATGAGATAAAAAAATATTTAGATTTAATTAAATTGCGAACAATGCTTCAAAATTCAAAATGTGTTACTTACTTCAAGAAAAGTTCCTTTAGCCTTTAATAATTGATATATCATTAGGATTGGAATGAATATTGGAGATGAGAACACTATAGCCCATGACAATGCAATAACCCAGGTTGTAGGTTCATAGACAACACCCAAAACAGAAACAGGTTGTGTTTCATAAGAAACTATATTTGCTATAAAAATACCCTTGATAGGGAAGAGAATAGACGTAAATAT